ACCTCCAAATTATGGGGATCTATAAGGATCGCCACTAATGTACAAGTTACAAATTTATCTACAAAATTATCTATGCGTAGCGGATCTATAAGTAAAGGTAAAAGACTCAGGTTTAATAATTTGTCGACTATGAGACGTTGTAGATTACTGTTGTAGAAGATCGTCTGAGTCACAAAGTCTGTTAGGCAGCCAGACAGGAATTTCTCGAAACATCTAGGGCCGCGTGCGTGCAGATAGAGAGCAGCGAGTCGCGTTCGATGTCGGGAACTCGTCTTGGGTCGCCTGGATTCGAGTGGGTCACGATATTTCCATGGGTGCACGGCGTCAGGTCGCTGCAGGAGTCGTCTCCAGGCACGAGAAGTTCGCTGGTTTCAGGGCGTTGCAGGGAGCAGCAGGTCGCATCGGGTCGCAATGGGTGGTGACCAAATGCAGCTAGGATGTTATGGGTCATCTTCGGGAACAAGCAGGTTGCATCGCGTGATCGCTGATGCACTCAGGTTGTCTCATGACGGTGGTCGGGTGGTCGACGGTGGTCAGGTGCTTGCGTTTTCTAGGGTGCTCGATTGCCCTAATGTCTTCTATTGAATTATATAATACATCTAAAACTCTTTTCGTGGGAAGGAGAATCTGAGGTTATGTTTGCATACAATAAATTTCAAAAGCTAAAGGAATTCATGTCATCGTTATCCGAGATGAGACCGTTTCATGCGGCAAAAGCTAAAGGAATTCGAGGAGTTCAAGTCGAAGCGACAGTTCGAGGTGGGGAAAGAGATCAAGAGGTGCTGGACATTGGAAAGAACTACAAAGGTTGAGATGCTGCTCCATCACGCATGAGAAGGGGATCGAGAAACTCAAAGAGGTGCTTGTAGTGACTTGGAGGAGAAGAGTTGAAGAGATATACAAGGATCTCGCGAGGAGAAACCTGAGGGTCTACCTAGGAGCCTCGCCAGTCAGCTTCTACGAGGTAGTAGCTCGCCTCGAAAAGAAATGGGAAGAGAGTCGAAGGCCTTCGGAGTCGAATTCTGAATCATCGGAGGAAGATCTTTGAGTCTTAGGCGAGCCCAATCAAGGGAGCAACGCGATAACTGAGGAGCCGATCCCCAAGTCTACCCCTCGATCGTAGCGTCCTTTCCGTCTATTCGAATAGGTAGGTGTTGCTAAACTTACTGTGGCATAATACTTTATAATCACTAGGTCTCATAATCAATGTATGCATGTGAACCATGTAACCTATCGTTGGTGCAGATTCGACCTTCCATACGGTATCCCTGTCGGCAGGTGCGTATTCGACTCGTCGATAGTGCCCGATTAGGGACAGTCTCCCGTTGCCATGTAATTAGTGTGGATTCGACCATTGACATGCGCTCATGTTGAATGGATGCGGTTTCCATCATCAACAGCACTATGAGTGTACACTTGAGCATGTTAGGCATAATAGGAGATGTGATTATTTTTTATTAATTCATGTCCATGTTGCGATTATGTTTTCTGTTATTATATTGAATTGATGTGCAAGTTATTCCCATGGTGAACTAGTGGTTTGCTCACCCCCATAACCCCCCTTTCAGGTTGAAGTTGGCGGTCATGGTGATGACGAGACGATGATGGTCTAATTGTTTCTAAAGTGTTTATTTTGTAAAAATATTGTATTTTACTTCTGCTTAATGTTTTTGAATCTGTGTGATATTTTGTTTCGAGACTCTTTGGAAACTGGTTGAGACATTAATAAGAATGGTTATATTGAGTTGATTATTAACTCGTGTTTTGGTATTGAGATATGTTGGAACAATGATTTCCCGTCGGATCGAATATGTTGATGATAAACTGAAATGACTTTGAGTAATGCCCGATAAATGACTTTTTAAAATAAAAATTTGTTCTGTGATAAATGATAAACTTTTTTTTTTATTTATTTGAAAATGTAGTTCGATAAATTTATAAAACCTTATTTCTATTTTTGCAAAAATTGGGATTTAACCTTTAAAAATAACGGGGAGTTACAGTGTGGTATCAGAGCAGGTCTACGTTTATGTAAACTGCTAAAATTTTCAAGTTAAAAATTTTTTGAAAAATTTTTGAAAGTTGTGAAAAATGACCACTCGTCTTCGTCATGCCGCACCAACTCAAAGGTATGAGATAGTTCGGGTTTTATTATCTGCCTGTTCGGACTTTAGATCTTGGGGCTTAGGTATTTACCCTCCTAGTTTAAACTCTAGAGGTGATCCAGTTAAGTTATGGCTTTAGCAATTCTCTCGCTGTAAGTTTCAGTTTAGTGTCCTTGAGCGAGGATCATTCGCAAGACATCTCGAAAGAGAAGGGCTTAGAGAACCGAAGAAGTCCCTACTGTATGGGATTAATCGGAAGGTTGGAACATTTGTCAATAGAAACCATCAGATGCGTATTAGAATCCAGTCTAATGCAAGCCAGGAGTGGAAGTTGGTGTCGTGTACGCGTTATTGTTCGACACCAAGATAGTAGTGAAAAATCTAATGTGTATCATTGTCGTGACTCTCGAGGGTGGCCAAGCCTCAAGAAAAGCGATGATTATCAATTTTCTCCCGCAAGAGTCGAACAAAGGACTTAGACGTTGTTCTCTGAATGGATGGGCTGATCAGACACCGAGTGGATGTTCGATGCCATGACCGTGAAGCGACACTTCACCTTGAAGGAGACGAAAGGATTATCTTCTATGTATCAAATCGAGAGCTTTGCCTAATGTGCTGTAGACTATGAAGAATTCTTTTAAGGAGGGTAGCTGAAAGGTTTTGAAGATCACCGTCGAGATCGAGACTAAGAACCGAATGTAATACGTGGGAGACACCGACGGGATCAAGATGAAACAACCATCGCCGGAGGACGTACTGATCGCTCGGGAGTATCTAGGAGCATTCCGGAGGAGCTGTCGATAGAACCACCAAGTGAGCAAGACAAGTTCGAGATCGACTCAACTACATGAGCAACTGACGACGGGACCGGAGACACTTAGACGAGAAAAGCTTTACGTTAAGATCTCGAGGTGTGAAATTTTAAGTACTGAGGAGTTGAGCTCGTTTAAGACCGCTGGCATGATTAGCTACCTGAGAGAGAGCTAACGTGATGGCCGACACTATTAGTCAGAAGAGTCGAAACGAGCTAGCCATTTAAGTGCTCGGCCGGAGCCGCTGATTAGGGATTATTTTCGGCTGGAGAGCCGATATTGATTTCTTTGAGAATTTTATTTTCCTATCTCAATCGTTAGATATTTGCGTGATAAATTGTGTTAATGTGGGAAAAGTAGTGGACTTGTAACTTGGATTTGTGCCTTGCTATATTTTGAAACCCTTGAAACGTTCGAGATTTCTTAATATCTAAATGCGATGGGAAATCATTTGTTAGATATTTGTGGTTTTTGAAAATTTTATGAAAAATCCCATCTTTCTGGTTATCTTGGAATTGTGAACCCTGAGCTAGAAATTTTCTTGTCTATACCTCGAGTTGAACACCGACCCTGGCTAGGTGTAGCCACGCGAAGTGGTGGCCGAGCACGCACGCCCGTTCTGAGAGATGCGAGGCCAACTGCAGGGCCGACCGTTGACTCGCACGAGAGCTGCTGCCACCATCACCGAACGCACGAACTCCCCAGGACAGTGTGTGAGGTCAAACCTCAACCGGTGATGGGTCTCTGAGAAGGTATACGCGTACGCGACCTAGCGCCCGCGTTAGCAGCACCAGTTGGCGTGCCTCCTCTCGGGTGACAGTGCCCTAACCCCGAACCCTTGATCCTTTTCAATCTGTTCGACTAGTTTTTCGTGTCGAACAATAAATTCTCCTTTTACCCTTTAAACCCCTTTTTTTGAACCTTGAATAGAGAGCTCCAAGTTGCACTAAAGTGTGTATGAACCCCAGCCAAGGATTTTTTATTAAGGGAGGATTCTCGATAAGTTTCCTATGCCACATGCGAGAGTTTCTATGTTTCTCGAGTTGGCAAAATAGGAGGTTTCGCATTGATATCGGTCGGAGCCTTAAGTCTCGAGTATAGGCTATGTTGGCTTTGTAGAAATCGTGATTACAAAGATTGAGAGTGTATTGGAGTTAGACCGTTAGCATGGGGTACCGTGTTGACCGTTTCTAACGGAGACGTACGGTTTGTGATGAAATAGTGGGCAAGTTCGAGGCAAACTTCCAGGCAAACCAAGATATAAGGGCACGCGATCTTCATCAGTATGCGCTTGCGCAGCGTGCGTCCCAGTGACCATCACGCTATCTCCTTGGGTCTCCAAGAGGCCTGCTGTGGCTGCACAGGTCTTGGTCCCTATGACTCGTGCACTGTTTCATACGAGCTCATATTCGTTTCCTGGCCCACGAGCACGTTGTTTTAACCTTTTAGGTCTTTGCGAGGTCTTCTCAGGTCACCTCCACTCTTGACCGTCTCGTCCATGGTCACCCAAACCTCCATATCCATCAATGACCTAAACTGCGTGATCAAGCTAAAACAGGTAACTGATTTGTAGAGGTAAGTTGGGTCTAACACGATGTGACGAGCTAGTGAGGCCTACGGTTTTGATAAGATAGGTATCTAGAGTTTATTAGGTAAAGCCGTAAAGGATCTCTCAAAGATCTTAAGATTTATGGAATCTTTGCTCATATGGACATGATCTCTACTAAGATATCGAGATTCTTTATGTTATGCAGAAGTCTTGGGTAACAAAGTAATTGAACAATATATAACAAGGGAAGTACAAATACTGTTATTCTCTATGTGTTCTAACATTTTAATTTTAGGAAAATGCTACGGAACCATTCCGTTGAGATTTGTAACCGTTAGATCGTCAAGTAACCGTCAATGATAGTTGATCTAACGGTTACAAATCCCAACAGAATGGTTCCATAACGGGATTGTGGCCTTACCCTTAATTTTAATAACCTAAACATGGGGGATTTACTTGAACATTCGGAGGCTTAGGCCGAAAAAACTCCCCAACGCTTTGTAGGTCTCACGACGAGGGTTCAGAGGAAGAGAACTGACTTTATTTTATAGATTCATATAAGAACCAAAGAACTCTGGACAATGACAAGAAAAACAAATTAATACCCATAAAATAGCATACTGGAAGCCTTGGAACATACGCGTCAATCCTAAACTTTATTACAATAGCCATAGAAATAAGTCCTGGAATCATAGAAGAGAACCCCTAAACTTAGTATTGGAACATATGCATCAATACTAAACTTTATTACAGTAACCGTAGAAATAAGTCTTGGAATCATAGAAGATAACCCCTAAACTTAGTAGAGTGAAGAAATAGCCAAGGAGTCGGAACCATAGAAATTTTCGAAACCTTCAATTTCTAATAATTTATTTTCCCCAACACAGAATCTGACTACTCGATATCTTCACTCTTTCTCGACTTGGGCCTCAACTGCAATAAAAGAAAATGCATGCATATAAGATTGTTTATGTTTGTAGTTATGTAATTCTATGTGTGTGAATAAATGTATTGAGGTTAATGACCTGAGTGCTGTATCCACATTTTTTCTTCCTACATTGGACAGCGCGAGGGCTCAGGCGAGCATAGCATCTGACAAGTTCAAAAGGCGAGATCATACATTCAAGTAAGTACCCTTAAAAACTTCGCAAATATATGAAAACAAAACCTTTAGTACATATTACCTCAAGTTTCTCAAAATTTTGTGAAGAATCTGACGGAGGTGTTAGTAAATTAGAGGAAACATGAACGGAGAAAAGTAACTAGAATTCAACAGAGTAAATTTAAAATTCCGAATACATTATAAAGTAATTATGAAAAACTCACTTGCGGCAAATTTTCTTGTACTGCCTGTATTTTTTGGCCAGCTCACAAAGATATGGCTCATATCTATTTGGCTTTCCACCCTTCAGGCTCATAACCAAATGCAAGGTAGACTCTGTATTATAAAATTATTAGTTATGAATTTGAAATTCTTAACTCGAATGCAGTACATGAGATGAGCGACCAACAAAATGGTTGTGTTATTCATATTTACAAGTAAATATCAAATGATAAACAAGTGAATATCATAGCAAAAGTCTTACAAAAAAACTTACATGAGTGAGACCAATAAAATGGTCCCATATTAATTAAAACATGATCTATATATAATTTCACAATAATATACAATAAATCCGAGCTCTAGATGAAAATGGGTATCCTATAACATGTGAAGCACTAAAAGAGTGCAGACTCCAACATAATAATTTATAGAGAATCACATCTCAATAGATTAACCATACAATGCATTCTAACATAATTGGATTTTAATGCATTCTAATATAATTGGATTTTAAGTGCAATNACACACACACACACACACACACACACACACACACACACACACACACACACTCACACACACACATTAGATCTGGGTCTCTAAAAATTGAAGATCCGTGACAATTTTAACCGTGTGTTGCTAATTTTGAGATAACATAACAGAAATTAATGTGTAGCATTCATGCATTCCGGTCAAGGCAAAATCAACAATGGCCGGTGCATGTCTAAACCTAATTAGCAAACAAACCATTCTACTGGTTCTGTAAAAATGGAAAATGATAAAATACCATTCAATTTTAGGCAGAAAAGAGCTCAGTTAAGCACCCAACCCCAATCGGTATTAAAGACATTGGCGTGAAGAGCAGAGCACACAAAATTTTACAAAGCAGATACAAAACTTTCAAACTCAAGCTCGACAAATACACCCATAAAGAAAATGCAAATGGAAAACTGGATAATAGACTCCTCTGCTATAGTTACAAACAGAACGCGAACTCGAAACATGTAATCATGAATTTAAAACGAGAAAAGGTGAAAGAAAGAGACAATACCTTTGTGAATGTTGAGATCTGCAATAGTAAGGTCATCATCTTCCAGCTGTTTTCCGGCGAAAATCAAACGTTGCTCCTCTGGTGGAATCCCTGAACAGAAGAAATCGGAACATCACAAAATCAGTGGTATGCTGTCGTTTTTTAATTTTTTTCCTTCAAACAAACTACCGAACAACGAAGAGAAGGAGAAAAAAAGTTGATAAACTAATAAATAGGAACAAAACACAGAAAAATCTCAAAAATCGACCTTCCTTGACGTGAATCTGAGCCTTGAGGTTGTCGAGGGAGTCGGTCGACTCAACGTCGAGCGTTATGGTTTTGCCGGACACAGTTTTCACGAACATCTTCTCTATCTCTCTCTCAGTTTGTTTCAGTTTGAAGAGGAACGGTCACACCAAAAACATGAGTGACTGTATGTATATATACAAATTACGGAAAATACTACATATGCATTTATTTATACTTAATAAAAGAGCTGAGGGTTTTTTGGGTTAAATGCTTGGCTAGCAAGGATGCGTGTCCGCCAAGAACCTTGCCCACCAAGGATTTTTATTTTATTTTGTGTAACAAATAAGAAAATACGTTTGAGTGATTTTTTTAGTGTCAGTTACTATAGTACTCTCTCCCAAGCAATGAGTCTAATTATAGTAAAAAACCATACATTGCACGACACGTACGACGTGGTGAAATGCATGTTCAGTATTCACACACCCTTTTCAACTTCCCAAGTTCAAATTGTGGAGAATATTTACTATGGAGTATTATATAGACAATTAATGAATTAATGTTTTTCCCTCTCATTTTTTCACTTTTCAACTTCCCAAGTTCATATTGTGGAAATAATTACTATGAAGTATTTAATATATACATATATATAGGCAATTAATGAATTAATGTTTTTCCCACTCGTTTTTTCATTTAACTAATATTCAACCATGTGAAAATGCACAGATGTAAATAAAGTATTATAAGTTATTTGTATAGATATAATATTAAAGAGTTAGGATCATATGAGAATGGTAGATAGTGAAAGAAATAAGAATAAATCTGGACCATGAGATCAATCATAGTAATGGTTATATTGAAGTCAAACTATGGTCAATCATTAATGACAATCTAGTAATTATTTGATCATAGTGTGATTAAATATGTACATTTGATCAATAATTAAGGGTACTGTAGACATTTAATTCAAAGTCAACAAAAATAAAAAATATCATCATAAATGTGCCGCCCCACCTACCCCCTCGTTCATCTTCTCCC